CAGTTTGGAGTCACTTTGTTAAGAAATTGATAATACAAGTATCTTAAATTAAATGAGTATCTTTCTTTAATCATTGGGAATAATAATAGTAATAATAGGTGAGTGGACTGAATCACTGGGTAGATCTGGTTTGGCAAAAGACATCACAAGGTGAAACATTCTTTCCTTGGTCTCCAAGGGCTGGTGTCTGGAGGTGACTGTGGCTAAAGAGGGACTCTGCCTGTTTAAGCTCAGGCAGTCCTGAGAAAGTTCTAATCTACCATGACTGCACAAAATGATGACAATTTACCCCTGGGTGGGAGGGTGATATTTTAAGGGTGAAGAGATATTTTAGGGGAACAAGTGTGTTGGGGAGGCAGGCTGGATGTATCCTCATTTACTCTTGAGCTTAATTTAGATAACATACTCCTACATGCACTGCAAGGTACCTCCCACTTTTGTTTCTTTTCCTTATCCTTTTCTCTCCCCATCCTATCCAAACATTACAGAGGACACTGGAGGGGACAGGGTGAGAGAATCTCACTTGGAGTGGCCTGGGCTGCTGGGTCTGTAAAGGTGGGCTGTTCCTTGAGAGAATGCCTAGTAGTGGCCCAGATCAGTTCCTGATTCTGTATCTTAGCTCCTTTTTATGATAAACAATACTTACTACAGAATTCTTCAGAAACAAAGATATTTTTAGGCATCAGACTTCTCTTTAGTTCCTAAAAGTCTTGTTCCCAGTGATCTCGAGTTCCATTCCTAGGGGACAAGGGTTGGGAGTGGGTTTCCATTTCTGTACCAATCAATGCCCCATGCAGGAAAGTGGAAAAGGATCAAAGGTATAGTCAATGATGAGGTCCAACTTAACATTGAGAAGTTGGTATCTATGTCTAATTTCTTAAATAATGAGTTTGGAGGTGTTAGTAAACTAGATTTCAAAAAAATAAAGTGGAATACTGTGAATTGACTATATTCTTGGTGGAATAAAAAGCTTTTAAAATGGGGCCGTCATGGTGGCACAAAGGGTTAAGTCTCAGCTTTATGAAGTTATCACCAGCCACTGAAACATAAGTTCAATCCCCAGCCAAGGAGCTGACCCACATGACACAGCAGCCTCTCCTATCTGGCCTGCTGCTCCCCTCAGCAGTGTATTTCAATAGATCTGCCTGTTCTGCTCCTCACTCTGTCTCTGGTGAATCATCTCATCACCCCTGCATCTCTAGCCTGAACCCCAGTTCTATATGCATAAATAAATAAATCTTTAAAAAAAAATAAGAAAGCTTTATAAATGAAAGGCACTAAATGTGGATCTGAGAGCTGGGATTACAGTTATGTTGCTCACTTCCTAGAGCTCTGGTTGAAGGACCAGAGAAGAGACCCATAAGGAAGTAACAAGATCTTGTGCTTGGAGGGTTCTAGTGGGGTGAGGGATTGTTCTATACATCTATATTTCTGAGACAGGAAGGGTGCTGGAACAGGGACAAGACTGACTAACAGAACTCTGCTGTTCCCACATGCTGGTAAACCAGAGGTTAAGCGTATCTGGTGACTCTAGGTCCAGATAACTGCTAGCATAAATTTCCCTGGTTCTTGGCTTTCATTACTGTTTTTCCCAAGCCTGTGAAATCCTGGGCTTTACAGCTTACCAGGTTGATGGTTGCAAAGGAAATGAGTTGCAGGCCCTGGGATCAGAGCAGGTCAAACTGGAGTTTTAGGCGCACAGTCTCCTGCCTCTCATAGAGGTTACCAGCCCTGCCTCACCACCAAGTCATCTGATTGGTGCTCACATTAGCAACAGTAAATGAACCACACTGAGAAAAACAAAATGGACTTTAGTTTCCTTGATTTTCAGACAATAAATAATTAATGTGCTCTCAAAGCTCCAGGCCTAAATTGGTAGACCCCTATCCCAGGCATCCTGGGAAACCTCTCATGCCAGAGAGGTCTCCCTGGAGCTCTCTTTCCTTGCTCTTTTGCTAATCAATGAATGCTGACTCCTTGCCTGCCCTCACCCGTGTCTGTGGAGTTCTCTTTTCAACCTTGATCAGAGACTCTCCAGAGAGCTTTCTGAGGCCTGGGAGCAGGGATCCTCAGTCCATCCCTCCCGTTCCCAGCAGGTGGCGCAGTGGCAGCAGCTAACAGGCCTTTGCGGTGGAAATGCAGCATTAGACTGAGAGCCTAGGAGTGCTTCCTTTTCAGGTGATATTTCTACTAACCAGAGTTCTTAGGAGATGAAAAGACTTGATCATGTAGCCCTCAGAGGGGACCCATAGAACTGCAGACTGTACATTTGAGAACTCGATCAAAAAATGAAAAATCTAAGCATACACTTCCCCATATGCCATTTCTTTTGTACGTATTATACACAGGGCTATGGCACTGCTATACTAGGCCTGCTGACTTAAAGGGGATGATATAGGGGCCTCCCTGGGGCACAGGGGTTATAATGCACCACTGTGAAGCTGTCCACAGCCACTGCAGCAAAGTTCCACCCCCCGCCAAGGAGCTGACCCACATGGTTTGGCAGATCTCTCACTTTCGCCCTCTGCTCCCCTCACCCCTCAGCAGTTTGTTTCTGTTGATCTGCCTGTGTTGTTCCATACACTGTACTGGTGAAACCTCTAACCTTCCTCCTTTGGTCTGAACAAGAGCTGGGGCTCTTGTATGCATAAGTAAATGAGTCTTTAAAAAAATAAGAGGATGATATAAAACACATTAGCATCGAAGTTCTGTTTTCATCCCCCCACTCTTGAGTGGAGGCCTTGCTCAACTCGTGGTTCTCTGCAGAGAGGGGAATACCCAATTGACCATGTGTGTGCCTCATATTTGCATTTCTAAAAGGCAGTTGAGTAAAACAATTGTTTATTATCAAAACATTGCCATGAGCAGTGTATGAGGTTTAGGAGACTGAATTCTTACATAGAATTTATAGGGAATTCTTGTATTGGATGTGCATTGTTCTACAGAAACTCAACATTATTGTATTTGCTGTTTCTGTTCCTACTGTCATTGTGGGTTATTCTTGGATGTTGTATGACTATTAAATGCTATTAAAACTATTGATGCTACTAAAACTATCAGGTAAGAATTATATTTATATCTTGCTGACTCTGGGCCTGCAGACCTACTGACACACCTTTCAGAGACTGAAGATCCAGTTCACTTTCACTAACTTCAGTAGCCAGGGAATGCTGCAGCCTCAGAGCACCAGAAATGCAAACTCAGCAACAGATTCCTATATTCTTTCAGATTCTTTTTATGATAAGGAAGCTGCAGTTTTGCACATTGAACAAATGACCTAATCTAATCCTTGAGGATTAGGAAATGAAGGCCCAGGAGTGCAAATGAGGCTTAGAAAACTATAGCAACAGCCAGAACCCAAGCTCATGACCTTAGACAACTCTTTGCATCAGGGGCACATTCTGTTTCTCAAAGTCTCTCTGCAGAGGCTTCAGGGTAAATGAATGGCTGGAAGCACAGAGCTGGATTCTAATTTTGAAGGGAACAGTCCCTTAAACTCCGTGTGTCAGTGGCTACACTTCCTCAAAAAAGACCTTGAGATGCAGATCTGGCCTGTCCACCTGATGTGGGCCATTCAACGTGCTAAATGTGCTCAATGTCCTCTCTTCTCGACCTGTCATCTAGATAGAGAGTTAAGTGTCTTAGATGAAAGAACTTGTCTCCAATGATACTGAAACATGCAAGCTATTAAGAAGGATGAGACTTTGAGAACCTACAGAAGGAAGAGAACAGAGCCAAAGGGATAGGACAGAGCTATCAGTTCTACTGAAGGAAGGCTTTTGAAGAGTCAGGCTCTCCAGAACACTGTGAGTAGCTGTCACAGAAGTATTAAGCTGATCTGGCTGACTGAGGACTGTGAGTAGAGGGCAGCAGTTAGGAATTTTCATTCTGTCTCTAATACTCTATGATACAAGGATAAGTCCTCCATCAGCATATATCATTGTACACAGCCCTGAATCACTACAATACCTTCCAGGAGGAAATAAAGGTAAGTATGAGAAAGGAGATGCCCTTAGGTACAAAATGTGGGAGGGAGGTATTCCCGCACACAGTTGGGTGACTTTATGCCTCTAGAATCTCTTTAAGTACCAGTTTCCTCACCTGAGAACATGGAATACTCACGGCTGAGTGGGCCAGAGTGTCCACTGTATAAAATGAGTTGTAAGTAATTCATTTTACAAAGGCAGAAACTTAGACCAACATAAAAAGGGATTTACTCATCGCTATAGAAATAGTAAAGGGAGAGTCGGGTAAAGCCCCTGGGATACTTCTAGACATTGTCTCCAACACTCAGCACAGGGTTTGGTACAAAGTAAGGGCTCATGTGACAATTACTACAGAGAGGCAGAAAGACACAGTGCCAAGAGGGAGCCATTCCGTCACATTATGCGGCTAGCGGAAGTTCTGTACACCTGACTTGCTAATCTGTAAAATGGGCACAAGAAACTCTAGTTCATGGGGATACTTGAAAATGAAATGTAAACATACATGTAACATGTTTAGTAGGAGGCCTGGCAACTAATATGTGGTTCGCAAATGACAGCTTGTTCTGTGTTACAAATACACGTAGGCATCTGATATATTAATGTAACATACCTCACACCTTTGTGTTAATATTTACATGGTAAGGCGAGCCACAGTTAAATAATGAGACATATTAATAACCACTGACCTCTTTTAGTTGCATGGTATAGTAGCAAATATGTCTACTTGATAACTTGGTGCTTAACCAAACCCTGAATTCTATGCTTATAGACCCTCAGTTCAATTAGCTGGTGGTACTTTTTCTACTGCTGGCTATTCACCTTGAAAACTTATCTCAACTATTCCCTGAACCATTAATCACATGAAATTTCCAAGATGTTGGAAATGGGAGGGGACAATAGAAGCAACACTGAGGAGAAATGACTTTCTGCTATAAGCTATTCAAGACCTGATTTAGGGATGGTGCCTAAATACTTCTACTTAAATATGTGGAGTTGGTCATTCTGCAGTCCTACCTGGTTAGCTTGGTACCAATCTGCTGTCTCAGCTCCAGTCTCTCTTCATCTGTCTGCCTGGGAAGGATGTTCTTTTCTTCGAGTTCTCTCTTGGAGGGTCTGTTGCTGAGTTTGATGGCTAAGGAGTCCTTCCTGCATACCTTCATGGCCAAGGAGCCTGCAGGGGGGGGAAAAAAATTAATAATGCCTACTCAAACCTGCTTGGGTTCCCCAGGGCCATGCATGGACCCCAAGGTAAGGTAGAAGGACATACACAAAGGGCTTAACACCTGAGAGCAGTTAAGGCCATAACAGACATTTCCACAGAGTTTCTGCAGCCTGCATCTTCCAGGAACCCACAGGGTGGTAGGTGTGTGAGGAAGACAGCAGGGACTGGCGATGGGTTCTCTCTAGGAATGGCCAGCATGTGGGAAACATCACAAAGGGTAGGACAGACTGTGTGTGCAGCAGAGTGCAGGGGGAGAGGGCACAGAGGGAAGCTTCGCTGAGGAGGGAAGACTGGTGACTGCAGGGCATCTGTGACTCCAGCAGCAGGGGGGCCCCATGGGGGAAAGTGCCAGCAGTGCTGGGGTATAAGGAAAATAAACCTGGACAGAGATAATGGGTCAGTTTGGAAGAGGAGTGGAAACATGGTCTTTCCAAGGCAATATTCTGAGATCATTTCTTCTTTTTAAGGCAAGACATTCTGAGAGAACAGGGTATAAGCTCACAGATCTACATTAGGGGCATTTTGCACCCCCGATTTCACCTTCAAGGAACACTGGGCAAGATCCAGAGACACTTTTGTTTGTCAAAACTGGGGTTTGACAGGGGGATTGCATCTAGTAGGTAGAGCCAGGCATGCTACTAAATACCCTACATGCACAGATGGTTTCCAAGACAAACAGTTTTTGGTGCAAAGTGTCTATAATGTGGAGGTTAAGAAACTCCACTCTAAAACGTTTTATTCTCTGGGCAAGAAATGGCCAAGCAGCTGCTCCTTCCATTCAGCCATCAAGTGGGCCTTTGACGTTATGAAGTGCTCAATGTTATTTTTGATCATTTCATTGTTCACCAGGATTCCTGCCAGCTCTCAAATTTAGCAAGCAATCTGAAGCCTGGGGAGTGAAAAGCAAGAGGAAGAGACTGGGAAACAGCAAACTTGAGGGATTCCTTTGGATTTTATCTAGTGCTGTTCATCTCTTTTTTCTTCAACTCATGTAGACTTTGGAATTAGGCTCAGTGGGCATCAAATCCCAGCACAGCCACTTAACATATGTGAGGTTCTAAGCAAGCCCTTGCCTCGTTATTTTGTCCCCTTATCTGTAAAAGAAGGGGGTGTTGTCTGTGTTACCAGTTATTGTAAGATGCAGATACGAGACTAAAACAGCATGTTGTCAGATATACAGTGCATTTTTAGTAAAAGGTCTATGTAATGTGAATTAACTTATGAAAAAGTCGATCAAATATCAGTCTATATTCACATAATTTATCACTTTTCTTTTTTTTAAGATTATTTATTTATTTAGGGCAGTAGCAGTAGGGGTTGTGAGAGGACTGAGCAGAGACTGAATGGGGAGAAGAACAGGCAGATCTACTGAAATACACTGCTGAGAGGAGCAGCAGGTAAGACAGGAGAGGGCTGCTGTGCCATGTGGGTCAGCTCCCTGGTTGGGTATGGGACTCAGGCTGTATGATAGAGCTGAGGCTTAACCCCTAGGCCACCAGGGAGGCCATACTTATCATTTCTGACCACAGTGAAAGATTTTAGCTTCACTTTCTTTATATCTTTTCTAGAATATTTTTTAAATCATGTATCTTTTTTTTTAAAAAAGCTGTATTTATTTATGTATACAGAACTGGGGTACAGGCCAGAGAGGTGCAGGGGCAGTGAGAGGATTCACCAGAGATAGAGTGGGGAGTAGAACAGGTAGACTGACAAAATACACTGCTGAGGGGAGCAAGGGCGGGTCAGGGGTCGGGTGTGTCTGTGATGCCAGGTGGGTAGGCTCCCTGGCCAGGGATCAAACTTGCACTGAAGTGACTGTGGCTAGCTTCATAGGGCAACACTTTCACCTGTTGTGTCACCAGGGAAGGCCCTGTTCGCTAGCATATTTAGAGGCCTTAGAACATTCTCAAGTAATTGATGTATGTCTAGAAGTGAATTTGTTGTGCACACAATGGTTAGTATGTCTGAGTATCTTGCAAACTGAAACTGAACTTTATGACTCCCCCTCTTCTTGTTGTGAGAGAGGAAGTAGCATCTTAAGGGAAGCAATCAAAGAAAAGAGCCATTTAAGTAGGAAGCATGTGGTGTTGCAATATTTAGAGCTGTGAGGACATTTACCCTCTACCACTTCTCATTCTTCATTAGTAAATTGAAGAACCTGTGGCCCCTAGAGGTTAATCAAGCTGCTCCATGACTTAGGGCCAGTTGACGACAGACCCTGATGTAGAACCTAGAGTATCAGACAGCCCTGGCAGCTCCTTCCACTAAGCGATACCCCATGGCCCTGGGCAGGGCTGGGATGCACGCACTGGTGTACAGGGGGCTGCCGTCCTCCTCGTCTTCCTCGTCCTCCTCCTCTTCCCTTGTGTAGAGGCAAGAAGAGTCTTCATAGTCCGACTCATGAGGCACATTTTCTTTATTGTCATCACATTCAATCACAACAGTTGGCACTTGTCTTATTTCCGGAAGGCCCAGAGGTCCTGCTTTTGTGATACCGTCACCCGAGTGCAAACCAGAGCTATGGTAAGAAGGGGCGCAGGGGACGCGCTGCTCAGAGCTGTTGAAACAGAAAGAGGAAAGAAGACATTCATTCAGGCTAACATAGTCGTGCACTGGAATCATTAAAACTTGTCCTGTTCCAGGAAAAAAGGGCTTCTCTACGATTCAGGTCTCATCTCTCACTTTACTGTTAACCATTTTAGGACAGCAGATTTCCTCTTGATGGTAGGAGCATGAGAATAGGGAATGAGAAGTTTAATACCAATGGATGATAGTGGCTGGTGGCTGCTCAACAATGTGAGTGAACTTATTGCCACTGAACTATACACTTAAATGGCTAAGGTGATCCATTTCAAGTTCTCTGTAATTATTAATAGAAAAATTTCTGATTCAACAAATATTTCTGGTTAAGACCAATATCCAAGTGCCAAAGGTAGGTTGCAATCACACTTCTCATAGCACAAGGATTTTCTCTTGATGGTGAAGCTACTGATTCAGAAGAGAAAGGGGCAAGATGTGAGGGTCTCACATTCCAAACTATGCAGCATGCTTGTTGGGAGCAGGCAAGTGGGAGAGAATAGATAGACATACAGAGAAAGTGAAGTGTGCCCATAGGCTGGAGACCCATGGGTCAGGGCCAGGGTGACTCAGAGAAAGTTCTTTCCCAAGGATGATTGTCAGAACCTCAGCAGTCACAGCTTGAAGTTTCTGAAGGTCAGTTTCCTGAGAAGCAATGATGATTGTCTCAGACTGAGTCAGCTTATATAAAATATTTTTAATTAAAATATATTTTACTTCATATAAAACCCATATAAAGTCATGGTGAGAAAATGAGGAGATGTGTATCATCAAAAATAAAGAAAATAAAGTAGTTATTTTCTTAATAGAGTATATTGTGGGTGTCTAAAGCAATTTAGAATCCTTTTTTGATAGATCTTGAAAGATGTCCAGCAAGAATAATGGAACAGAAACATATAGTTAAATATTAAAATTATTTTTTCAGAATAACTAGAAATAGAATTTGTATCTTTCATTTAGGGAATTTTTAAATACAAGAAAATCAATGCATTTTACCATCCAAAAGACACATTTATAAGGAAATGGAATGTGAGTTTATACTATACATCAGTATATTTTACATTTGGAATACTTTATATCTAGAAGAAGAAAAATCTTCCTCATGAAGAATGAATACATGATGGTCTCCTTAGAAGCTTTTAATTATGCTTCAAATGATTGTTATGTCTAATTTAAATTTAATTAACTTCCTTCCATTGTTTCCAAAGAGTTGTTTTTCTATTTTTCATATAGCTCTTCAATGATACAAGTAGAAAATCTAGTTAACACATTATGAGCTATGATACTTGAGGCAATGGACTAAATAAATGGAAAAAAAATCCCTTCAACTGCTGAGTAAGATGAAATCACATATTTACAAAAATTTGGCAGCATAATAGACATTGGCTTGTTTCCATCCTAATTTAATACAAATGGCTATGAGAGCAGAAGGTTGGGTACAGGACAGTTACTCTCTGGGTGACAAACACAGTGAACTGAAAGGTGAGCCCTGGGATTTGCTGCCCTCCTCACAAGGGTGGCCCTCTCCTGGAGACACCCAATGTGATCTGACCAGTTTAGATTGCTACCTTGGGAATATGGGATCTGGAGTGGGAGAGGCTTGTGTTTTTCCCACTGTTAACTCTCCCCAATTATAGGTTAATATTTAATTTCCCCACTTACAGTGCAGTGGTTTCTACTGAGGCACAAAAATGGGGCTGTAACAAAGTGAGGGCTGAAAAGCAATGAAAAGATATTTTTGTCTGATTGGAAGATTATTTTGAGAGTGAAAAAAGTTGGAAACCAGAAAGCATAGAATTTCCTTCAGATAGGAGGCTGCAGATTGCTTCAAGAGAAAGAAGAAATAGTATGCAAAGGAAGATAAGAGACAGCCTAATGAGGAGTCTGGGATAAACAAAAGACTGATTTCTCCTGCCTCAGAGATACATGGAGGGATGCATAGACAGGGGTTATAAGTAGGGTCTCCCTGCTGCTTTGGTGGTACCAGATAGCATGCTGCCAGCTTTGCAAAATAGGGGACTGTCATGGTGATCAGTAACTGTGTAAGGGTTACCACAGCAACCGCTGGAGACCACAGTGTCCAATCAGGTCATCATTCTGCAGTGAATCCAGCCCATGACAGGACATCCAATCTCCTAGAAGGAGAGGAAGTTTTTATTTTCAGGAAGCTAGGTGAGTCCAAGAAAAGGATTTTGAAGCATTCTATTGATAAATACCCACAGACTGTTAATTATATGTCAGGAAAGGTGCTCAGAGGAAGGAAGACAAATATGTAAGTGACCCCACACATGTGGTAACTGCAGAAATGCAGGGCAACAAGAAAAGACAAATGAATGCAGAAGAGTTAGCTGACAAGAAGGCTGGTAAAGTCTTCATGAAGAGTTAAAATATAGTCTAAGTTTTACCACTTGACACTGGAAAAATTATTTAACTGAAGTTTCCTTCCGCAAAACTGTAAAAACCATGCCTGCTTAGCAGGGGTGGTATATGTGAGGTGAGCCTTGGCATGACCTTGAGTAAGACCCTCACCTGTTATTTTTATAAATGGTCTTCCTTTGGGCTTGAAAACTCTAGGTTTCATTTTACTCCGCACATGGCTGTCAGACAACCATGGTGTAAAGCTCAGAACTAGTTGTCCCATTCCTTAGAATTCTGAAAACCTGCCTGGTCAACAGCACCAGTGCAACAGTGTGACACAGATGGAAAAGCCACTTAACACACATTGGGCTGTTATGCTTCTCAAGGCATAACAAATCAACCTAAATGCAGCACCTTATTACACTGGGCCTCCTCCCCTGGTGGTTGTGGACTGGAAGCGGAATACCCAGCCAAACATCAGTCTTAAAAATGCTGTTTTTTCATAATGGAGTTGTCACTTGGAGGGTTTGCTCTAAATACAAGGCTTCACTGCTAAGGTGAAAGCCAATAGCCTAGAAGCTGCAGTCTAAACACAGCATGACAAGCAAAATCTTGTACAATTTGACCCATGTTAACCCAGCCTCATTCCTATTCCTCACCTCTGTCCCTGTATAACTTCTGTTGACACACGCAAACACTCAGCATGCTATCGGTCTGGAAGATGTCCCCAGCCCATCTCTACTTTGTTAATTTCTGTTTATCTTTTAATACTTGTCTCAGGCAAGTTCCCCATGTCCTCAGGAGGTTCTACAATTTTGAAAATTGTGAACATATGTTTGCTTACTAGCTTCCCCTCCCCAACCAAGCTGAGGTTCCTTGAGAAGCAGGAACTATGTATTATTCATGTTCATAGCAGGTGCCTAACACCATGTCTGATATAAAACAGACACAAGTAATTGCTTTTTTTTTTTTTTTTTGCTGAATTAAATAACTATGGGATGGAATCACTAATATTTAGGTAGATTTCAATATAACCATTGATACTGGAAGAGTATTAACAGATGAATTTTAATTTTCAGGGAGGTATATAGTAGCATCTGGCTGGGCTCCTAACTTGGTTGGCACATTTATCAATGGCTCAGTGACAAAAAGGGCATCCAATCGAATAAATGGAAGAACTGAGGTAGAGAAGGAAAGGCAGGAATAGAAAAAAAACAACTATTTACCAACTGTCACCCCTTGTTCTAGAAACTTTCACATCCAGAATCTCATTTATTCTTTATAGCAACCCTGCAGGAGAGGTATAAATATCTTCATTTTATTAAGCAGGAAACTAAGGTTCTGAGAGGGCAGTTAATAGACCCATGAAGATAGCAAAGGAAAAAGCTGGAATTTGAGCCCACTTTTTACATATGCCATATCCAAAAACTGAACTGTGCTATTCGAGAGAGTAGGTATGTGGATTAACCTTTCTACATTGCACAAATGCATATAAAGATGGCATTGACTTACAACTATTTAAAAGCTTACTAACCAGGGTAAGCAATAGTGTCCTACCTGGCAAAGGCTAGTGTTCCTGGGGCTCTGAGTCTAAGGAATTTGCCTTAGATATTGGATTATGATGACTGGGTTGGGCTCATCTGTCATTGTCAAGGCTGCTTTGGTACCAAATGGCAGAGAAGGTGTGTGTGAACCTTGAATACTTACCATTCAGTTCTTCACTTCTTTACATAAAAGCTTTCTGACCTTAGGTCTAAACCAAAGTTTCCTAACCTCCATCATCCACACACCTTAATTTTTGTGTTTGTACCATATTTAAAATCTGCTTACATATTATTTACATGTTTTTGTAAAATGCCAATGTTAAAAGACAAAGTAATAGTCATTTTAGGTCGACACTTAAAAGCACTTAAAACTCTTTTAGCCTCAACTTAAACAATATCTTTGTAAGCACAGGTTTTATATGCTAATCACAACTTGCATTAAAATAAATATGTGACCATGAAAAGTTTTATAAAATGTTGTGCTAAACTCAATTTATATAGCACCAATGATGCAGCTATTACATTTTGGCTAAAAGATGGGACTAGACCAGATTCTCTAAACCTTGGTATGACTTACATTTTGGGTTAGAAAAGTCTTTGTGGTAGGGCTATCCAGGGCATTGTAGGCATTCTGGTCTCTACCTATCAGATGCCAGTGGTATGTTCTCCAGTTGTGACAACCAAAAATATCTGCAGTCATTGTCAAATGACCTATTGGGAAAATCACCCATTTGGGAACCACTGACCTAGAGCATCCAATTGGCATTGATGCATTCAGAGTTACACCCTGTGAGTATCTTCTAAAGCAACCTCAGGATTGGTTGTGAGAAATCTGCAGTATAAACTGAGAGGTTAAGACTGGTAGATCCTGCTTGCAGAGTTCCTGACTGACTGTGTCTCAGGCTGACATTCTGGGACTGTATCCACACTTTGATAATATTAGGGTTCCACCTAATATTGATAGTTATTGATAGCCCTGCTTTGGTCTCTGAGGACTTATTCCACGACACAAGAGCCCCCCACTGACCCTGTGAGTGAAGCAGCTTTCCTCAATATGTTGCCCAGATCAGTGATCTAC